ATTGTTTAAAGATTTAAGCAAAAATAAATTTATGAGAAGGGGTACGTTTCATCCAAAGTTTTGTAAAAATTACTGGTTCCTAATATTTTTTGTTAAGTCGTGTTAGTGTGTGTGGGACAGTGGAGTGAGGAATTTGTTTGATTATCAATCAAATAAAAATAGTTCATAGTATATCTCCTTAACTTTTTATCAGTAATTAAGAATAATTAAAAATCAAACACAATTTATATGCAGCAGTATTATGACAGTAAAAAAAAATCAGCCGGAGTTTAATTATACATGTATTTTAAACTTTGCCTGGGTCAATATTAATTTTTTTGGAGAGAGAGAGAGGAGGGAGAGAGAGAGATGAATGGTAACTCGTCACGGAAGATAGTGGGAACCTACAGTTAGCGAATAATCTTAATCTTATGACAAGGAAAGATGTTAATGAAACCTGAATCAAATAGATAATGATTACGGGACGGATATGAATTGATCAAATGGACAAAGAAATTTGCATCATTCAAAAAACTTGTAATACACATTTTTATAAATCATATTCAAGTACCGGTATACTAGATTTTTTTTTCTTGTAACGTGTGTGCATGGGGGGGGGGGACTTATACATGTATGCTAGAGGGTTCGAAATAAATATTTGTGAGCACTGGTTCGACGGACTAATGACTTCCAATTTTCACTACTTCGTAAAATATTTTACTAGACAAGTCCGCCCTCTGCCTTATTATTACGTTAACATCAGAACACCCCCTACGCCTACCTACTTTAATGAGATGAAATTTAATTTCGGCACATAAAATTATATTAATTCCAATTCACCGATAGCTACAGGGGAAAAATTCGAAGGTACGAAACATGTAGTATTTTTGTTAAAATTGAATCATGATTAAAAAATACTTAAAGATTAAGTTTAAAAACTAAATAGTGATCTAACCCCCTCGGCAATGTGAATAAACGGAGCACCTGTCAAGTATTTAAGTAACTATAAGTGTCAATACTGTTTGTATCTTTAAGAGAGAGAGAGGGAGGGAGAGAGAGAAGAAAAATATTTGAGAATGGTGCTACTGCTAATATTAGTCTTACCGCTGACCTAGTAATTATAAATATTTTCCGTAAGATTACTATAATTGCTAGTACCTGAATTTTTATTACTAGTCTGATGATTATTTATTACTCTCGGACTTACAGACATTGGGTACTTATGAACCCTGCGTAATCGATCAACTAACCATTCATTTAGAAATAATGTTTTAAAGACAAAATTAACAAGGCATAGTACAAGTTTATAAATAGAACACTGTACTGTTCAATAGGGGAACTTCCGTATGAGCAAATGAAACCGGAAATCTTAAACAGGGGTATATAATTATATGACTTGTACAGATGTCCAAGAACATTAGGAAACTGAATTACCTATCAGTAATTATTCAGTATTTAGAAGATTTCCTTTTTTAACAAGATACATCTGTCCTGTTTGTGAAAAAGAAAATTGATACAACTTTCCGATCGTGAAAACGGGGGGGGGGGGGTCAACATTAAAGTGAGATATCTGTCTGCAAAGAAATAAATAGATGAAAACTAACTTGATGATTAATTAATTTTAATTCTTTAATTGAACAGGGATAGATATATTCAACACGTAAATTTAAACTTGATTTGCTCATAGTTAATTTCAAATCATATTCTGAATTATTTTACAGATATCAATAATATTTAGATTAAAAAAATGATAACTGCCTGGAAATTTTTTTCATCAAAAATTAAAATGAGACTGTTTTTAAATGCAAAGTATAACACACAGTCATTTTCACACCACTGCAGCCTCCCCGAGAGCGAGAACAATAGGGACAGTAATTATCAGTAAATGTCAGCACTTGTCTAAGTTTTTCAGCAGGGACAGTAAACGGGTCAGTAATTGTCTAAGTTTATCAGCACCGACTAAGATTGTCAGCACTTTTCTAAGTTTATCAGTACCGGCAGTAAAAAGGTCAGTAATTGTCTAAGTTTTACAGTAACGACAGCACATTGTCAGTAATTTTCTAAGTTTGTCAGTAAAAAATGGGAATGTCAGTACGTTTCTGACTTAGTAGTGTTAGTCCTCGTTACCTCCCTTGTTAGATTTAATATTTAAAGACTTTGACAAGTGATGTAAAAATCCTAATAGGGAGATTTAGATTCAAAAAATGTTGTTTTGCAAATTTCATTTAAAACATTTATGGGTAAATGAAAAATAAACATTTTATTACAATATAAAGTTGGTCTAAATGTGCTTTTTCTCTACCTGAGTTATTTCCATTGTTGGAGCTCTTCGGCATTGAAGAATACAAAATGTGTAAAGGCCCGGTCCCACTGGGGAGCGGATTAATTGCGCATGAATTTAGCATACAAATTTCGGGCGTTCGCTGTCGTTCGCAACAAAATTGGCCAAAAATGACAAATTTCGTAGTATGAATGACGGATATATTAAATATGCATAGCGAAAATATGACGAACAAAAGCGGATATTTCACGAATAAAAGCGTATGCAATGGCGGATGCTCTTCCATGAGGGGTACAACTGGTAAATGTTGACGAATGTATTGCAAACACTGCGGATTTATAACGAACAATCACGGATGTATATCGCATGTATTGAGGAAACGGATCGAATACATTGCAATTATCTCGGAAGTATCACGGATGTATTGAGAATGCATTCCGCACGTGTTGCAGAAACAACGGTTGTATTGAGCACGCGCGGCATTAGCGTTGCGGTCATAAAAAAGAAGCGCGGGCTTTTTAGCATCACTTTTCATACCAACACCACACCGAAAACATGTCCGGCCGTAAGAGGTCAAAGAGGCAGGGGATTAAGAAGCAGAAGACTAAAGCTGATACAGGAGCTCGAGGGAGGGTTCCATCTCCCACCCCGCCCCCTCCAGCGCCATCCCGGGCTGTCGCCAGGTCTCCCACCCCACCTCCTGAAGCCGCTGCTGTCGTTGAGGTACTGGAAGTCGCTTCTGGTCCTAGTCATGCAGGAGATTCTGATACACTTCCTATTGTTGGCAAGGGGAAGGGTAGGGGAAAGAACAAGGAGAAAGCAACAGACCAGCAGCTAGAAAGGAAGCCAAGGATGAATTTCACCCTCCCGTCAGAACAAGAGGACGCCGTGTTTGAGTGGCTGGAGGAAAATGAGTTACTGTGGAGAAGGGGACACAGGCTGTTTAAGGACACAAACAGGAAGAAGGCCTTGTGGGAAGAGAAAGGAAGGAACCTGGACGTGTCCTCTGAATATCTGCAGGGCTGGTGGAGGGGGATGCATACATGGTATGTGAAGCTGCACAAGGTCAAGTCTGGGCAGGCTGCGAAGAAGCTAACAGACAGAGAGAAATATGTGCTGCAGAAGTGTTCCTTCTATGAGGGAGAGCTGAAACACCGGTCGTCTGCACCCATGAAATCTGTAAGTAATATTGTGCAAATTGTTTTTTCCTTAATTTGATGCCTTTATAGTGCAAAACCATGGAACTTTAACTTATTTGTTTATACTTACAGCTGCCTCGTGACGTGGACCCTGACGCTGCAGAAGTTGCTTCTGATGCTGAATCAGAAGTTGAGAGTGTCATCCCTGTCGAAGGCGACCGCGAAAGGGAAGTGGAGACTGAAGGGCTGCTCTCTAATATAGAGAAGACCACTGCACAGGCCTTAAAAGGTGCAGTCTACAGCAGAGGTGGCACCAGCCGTTCGACGAAGAGAAGGCACCAGGATGCTGAGGAAGAGTGCTTGAGAGAGATGAGGGACAGCATGAAGGCCAACACCCAACTGCTGTCCCAGCTTGTTTGCGAGAAGCCATCCTCACCCAGGGAGCCCTTCATTACCTACGTGTCGGACACGCTAAGAAGACTACCCGATCATCAGTACGATGCCATGATGAGAAAGATCACATCCCTGCTGCAAAACCCTAACGCCATCGACTTCTCCTCGTCTACTAATCTCCACTCTATTCTACCTGCAACATCCAAGCCGACACAGTCCCAGTTTACCCCTCCTCAGGGCCTGTATCACCCCCAGTACCAGCTAACACAGCAGTTCCAGCATCCACAGCAACCTGCCATCCCCCAGTACCAGCTAACTCAGCAGTTGCAGCAGACACAATCACTTGCTTTCCCCCAGTACCAGCCAGCACACTCTCAGCAGACAAGTACCAGTGGTGCCACTGACCAGCCAAGACGTTCAGACACTTTGTCTCAAGTGTTGAAATTGACACATGACGTCTTGGATGACTCCATGAACCTGTCACTCAGTGGATCGGGGGATGACAGTTTGTCTTCCATGAGGTCCCTGAACACACCTCCTGCTCCACTGCCTTCGACTCCTGCATCTCCACAGGCCTCTCAGTAGATTTATGGCCTATATTGTGCAATGGACAGTTCACTTGTTTATTTGATGTTTTCAGTACTCATAATGTCCCTTATGAACAAAATAAAAGACAGTGTTTGTTAACTTTGATTTATGTGCCTCTTTTTTGTGACTTCCCTTACATTAATGAAAGACAATACATTTTGAACTTGATATAAAAGTATGGCAAACTTCAAAATTCATCATACATTTATTATACATCATCCAATATTACATTCTTGTTAATTAAATCATCAAGAAGGTGGCGAAATGAACCAGTGTTTTGAAGGTCTGTCTTTACACTAAGTCTATCATTTTGTCTTGCCAGGCTACGGAACCAGCAGGTGAATTGCACCAATGCTTGATGAGGTTGCGCTGCATCTTGCCTTCTTTTGAAGCTCTGTTAGGTGCTTGGACTTCCACAGTGTCGAATAGGTTTTGGCCCCTTCGCCATTCTCCGGGCTCCATTTGTCCATTTTGCAGCTGACGGTCTAAAAGTCTGTTTTGCAGGACTGGGTATCGGGTGCGCATCAGGTTGTGGAGCAGAATACAAGCCTTCACTATGAGCCTGACTGTTTCAGCATGGTGCTGCATGGTGGTGAGCAGTACCTGGAATCTATTGACCATTATACCAAAGCATTTTCTACCACTCTCCTTGCCCTTGACAATCTGTAATTGTAGATGCGCTCTTCCCTGGTCAGGTTCTTCGCGCTGTATGGCTTCATCAGGTATGTTCTTAGGGAGAAAGCATCATCACCCACAATGAAGTAGGGAACATCTTGTGTGTCATTGGGAAGGGGGTCTGGACGTGGCCAACCCGTGATGTTGTCGCTTTCTAGACCTTGCTTCAGCTCACTGTGGTTGTAGATTTGGGCATCTGATGCAGCGCCATTTCCTGATACGTCAGCCCAGAGGAATTTGTAGTCGGAACTGACCATGCCAAACAGTATGATGCTGAAGAAGCCCTTGTAGTTGTAGTATTCCGACCCTGTGTTGGGGGGAGCCTTGCATGCCACATGCTTGCCATCAATGGCACCAATGGTGTGAGGGAAGTTCCACCTCTGCAGCCAGTCATCAGCAATTTGCCGCCATTCTTCTTCGGTGGTTGGGCAAGTCATCTGCTCATCAAGGTACTCGTCCACTATGGCCTCGCATACGTCTCTGACAACTTTGCTTATGGTGTTGTGTGGCACCCTCCAGGCATACTGCATGTCCCTGTATTTTGTACCAGAGGCCAGGTGGCGCAGGGTTACTGCCACCTTGAGACCAGGCTCCAAGTTAGGTCTGAAGTTGGTTTGTTTCTTGGTCAGTCTGGGAGTGAGCCGGTTCACCACTTCGTCAAACATGGCTGGGGACATTCTCATGAAATTGTGAAAGGCATGTGGATCTTCATTACGCAGCTCTATATCAGCTTATTGTACATGCCAAGGTCCAGTCTTCTATCAATCCATGGTCTCACCCAAACAGCTCTATGATTTCTTCTTCGCCTTCTTCTCCTCCTCTGCATCAATTGCTGAACTTGGAAAAGTTGATTGTTATGTTGTTGGATGGCAGCAACTATCAAACGTCTTCGAGGATCCATAACTATATTTGTACTTCTCCACAGCTACACTGGCAATGACTGGCTAATATGTCTATTTCTGCTACTTTATATAGTACTTGGGTTTACGTGAAGTGTTTGTTATGCACTCGCAATTTGTTCGTAAATCAGATGCAAAGCAGACGTTATACAAACGCATTATTTGTGGTCAATCCGTATGCATTCGCTACGAATTATTTTAGTTCGTTATATGGACGTGATAGTCACGCTATATATCCGTTTTACACACTGTCCCAGTCCACTGCCAAACCGCAATACCCCGTCAGTTGCGGATATCGGCAAAAACCAGCGGATATACAGCGCAAAGACCGAGTATGTTTTGCGTATGCATTGCGTATGTATTGCATATGCAAGGCGGATGTCATCCGCAATCAAAATTTTGAGCAGCTCAAAAATCCTGGCAACGGAAATACGTGCCTTTGCGGATAATTGCGAACGTGTACGGATGTCGGCCGACTCATACAAGCATGTTTCACGAATATTGCGAATGTTTAGCGAATATAAACCAATTTTGTGCGCAGTTCATACGCAAATCTTCCTTAACGCCAGTGGGACCGGGCCTTAAAATGTAAACAAGATGGCAGACAATAAAATCTGCACTTTTTCTTCTTGTTTTGAAACATCTTGTTCAGGGAAATTCTACCTCAAGAGGCTCAGAATTTGATGAAAAACGGTTAACAAAGTAGGGATAATCTTTAAGAAAAGCCAAAGGGTTGATCTGGACATGATGAGTATTACACGTATAGCTACTCGTGGAAAGGAAGATATGAGGAAATCAGGGTTGGATGGGGCGAAGGCCGAGAGTATTTTAACTGTTCCCTTCAAGATGTCTGTGAAATAGAGTTCGAGAGATACATGTAGTGGTGTCGTAGTCCCCGACCGATCTCCATTGCAATGAGTAAGTATTTTTTATTTATAATTCTATTCACGTGTCACATATACCTGGTAACTGACTGTATATTGAAGTATAAGACAATAAAAACAAACAAGCTAATTCAGAGAATTTGTGTCGTACACAATGCAGAGTTCGGGGGAGGGGGGGGGGGCAGTCGGATCCCCCTGACTTAATTTGTAGTGTAGAATCATTAAATGTATACATGTAAACTGAAGCAAAGAAAATATGGCAATATGGATTATGTGTATAGAAGATTCTTTTTATATGGAATATTTAACACACTGTAATGATGATCTTATGAGTTTGTACAAGCCACATGTCATAAATCTTTCATTTCACATGCTGAATAGTGAATACTATTATTTAGTTAAAAAATGTTTCGGAAAAAAAATGAATTATCGGGGAATCGAACCCGGGACCTCTCACGTGTGAAGCGAGAGACATACCACTAGACCACTGAGTCGCTCTGCAAAGAAGCAAATTATATGCAATCATGAAGTCACATAAATGTATATATTCGTGTTCGGTATTGTGAAAATTTTACACAATCCAAGGTGTTTGGTTTATTAAGCCTTTATTAAACAGTTCTAATAGATGTAATAAGAACATAACGTCCGCCGAGAACCTGTTTTATACGCAATAACTCTCTGCATGCCCCTGTGCTAAAAATAGAGACTTGTAATACTATAAATACTAATAAAACAAACCGGGCGGGGCACTTTGAAAGGGGTGAGAGAGGTCTTTGGGAGTTTGATATAAAATAACATTGCATAAGCTCAAAATCTTCTTGAAATATCGTCTGGGAATGATAGTGTTACACACACACAGAATGTATAAATTTACGACCTTGAACTTTGACCTTTTGACCTCAAAATCTATAGAGGTCATCCTTACGCCACAGGGAGTTGTTTTATTTAAAATTTCATTGCAATAGCTCAAATGGTTCTTGAGATATCGTGTGGAAACGAGTGTTATAACAGGCAGTATTTGCTTATTTATGACCTTGACCTTTGACCATTTGACCTCAAAATTAATAGGGGTCTTCATTAGTCCATAGGGAGCTGCTATGCTAAATTTCATTGCAAAAGCTCAAAGGGTTCTCGAGATATCCTGTGCAAACGAAAGCGTTACAGACAGACAGAAAGACGGACGGACGGACAAACACAAATTAATATCCCCCACTTTTCAAGCAGGAGGCAACAAAACCATGAAAACTTGGATGCACATTTTTCATGTACATGACATTGAATCATATATTACTGTGAAGATATGTGCCCATTTTGGGTACCGGTATTTTATTTTGTATCAAATTCAGTTTATTTGAAGAAAATTGTTTGTATAAATTTATTTTTCCAAGTGAAAGTATGTTTGTGTCCATTCTATTTTAACAAACAGGATTTGTAGAAATACCACGGAAATTTTAAACCTTTGACTTTTGACAATGATAAATGAATAGTGGGTAAGATTTTTTGAAATTTTAAGCAATATCAGGAGCTTTGAATATTTGAAAGAATTGATAAATTAAGTGTAAGTGTAAAATTATGAAAATTAAGTCAGTACATGCAGACACACAGATTCACAGCTGCTATCAGTGTTCTAGATCTAAGTACATATTACTTTGTCATACTATGTGAGATCATTTTTGGGACCTTGGGACTTACAATTAAGTTACATGTATTTGCTTTGCAAGGTAATGTATTGTAAAGTAGGTAAATAAATCTATCCAAGGGTGTTAGAATGTGACAACTCCATTTGTACTTGGAGTTCTTATAAATTAGTTAATTGTCATGAAGCACTCTCTATTGACTTTTCTAAGATGCAGCTTTTTGTCTCATAATTTTATTTTACTGATCACTGTTTTTCAGATATATATTGCAGGCATATCAATCTTGAACACATTTATGAATAGTTTTAGTTTGACAGTATTGATCTATACAGATGAGATCATTCTGATGCTGTGTACTTTACATGTCAAGGACATATTGTACAAATTAAAAAAGGTCACATTAAAGAACAAAATAAATTATTATATACCACTTTACGTGTAGCATCCATAAACATGTATGTTTTATTATAATTAATTCATGATATAATAACATTCCATTTACCACTTTAAAAATTGAATGTTGTCAAATTCATTTCTACTCTAGATCTCCGACGATTTGTCCAGACGGCAGAAAAGCTTTAACTACCGGGTATGTGTAAATTAATTGAGTAAAAATGCTTGATGACAACATTGAATCCCCTCCTTTATCAATCATTCCTCATGATTCAGAAAATTTTCAGGATAACATTAAATAATTAATATCAAGTAGATATAATATATATACATGTATGATGTTTAGGATTTTAACCCAAACTTTCAAATTAAAAGATTATTTGAATTGATCATTGCAGCCCTTGCAAGATTTTCCTAATGAAGATTCTCAGGATTACAGATCCTCTAGCAAGGAGACCAGACAGGTACATGTATTTTGTATTAAGTTACATGGATTCATGGTGACTTAGGACATGATTGCCATGACAATGCATAAAGGGAGATAATAATGTTTAGAGGTTGAAAATGTATACCGTTAATCTGGAAATTTTTGCTGTAGATAAATTTTTAGCAAATTTGCGAGTTCATTGCATTCGCAAAAATATTTTTCTTAAAAATAAATTACCAATAAGAAAATGTAAACAAAGCAGTGGCAATTCGAAAAATTTTGAAACGTAAAAATTAATCAACATCATTTTTACCCGAATTCGCAAAACAAAATTGACAGAAAAATTTCCAGATTTACGGTATGTCTTATATATATGTATAGCAAAATTTTAAGATTCCAGTTTTTACAATAATTTTAATGAATTTTTATCCAAATTGACCAAAAATTAATGGTATGTTGTTTTTTTTTTTATTTTCATGTGAACAGATTGATATGACCAGAGCAGAGGACATACACCCCCCTCAATAAAAACTCCATAGTGGACTGGAAGAAATTTATACATGAAAAATACAAAGTAGGAAAAAGAACAGAAAGAAAAGAAGATCCAGCAAAAGTTGTCACTGGTGCAAGATGGATATAGCGAGGGTTTTCTAAAGATCATTACTAAAATCCACAGCAAGTTGCAAGGCTGAGCTACTTTTCAAACTTATACAAAAGGACATAAAGAAAAGTGAATCTGGGGAAACCAAGCTGACATCAAATGAGAGAATATGAAGGAACAAATTTTAGCAGAATTTTTTTAAAGCATAGCATCTGTTTTCCTTAGAGAATATGTGTATTTAAATTGATTTCTTGTATTTTCAAAAATTGTCACTGTTTAAGTGGAGCATACATTCCAATTTCATGTTTATTTCTTGTCTACAAAAGCAGTATTATGAAAAGAAGCAGTTTCTTCCCTTTTTATATCCCCTCTCTGCAGGAGAGGTGGTATACTGATTTATTATATACCCCCACATGGGCTCACAAATTTATAGTTTTATACTGGCAGGCTTCACACAGTTTGTGATGTATGATAAGAATAGGAATATATTTTAACAAAACTAAGAACAAGATTAATTGTGAAACACAGTTTACACTGATTCTCCTATACATTGCTGCTTATGCCACAACTCGCATGAGGTATCCCAAGAAAGGTCTTGTCACAAGGAAAACACCTGTGAAATATGAAAATCTAGTCCATCTTCAAAAGTTGTGGTTAAGGTTAAAGGTTTTTTTTAAGTCGGTCAATGTCTAAGGTCAAGGTCAAATGGTTACAAATATTTATACCCATTAAAAGAACATAATTGTATGACTGATCATTTGAATATGCTGATAAGCAATGTGATAGTAAGAATTAATTCCACAATATTTAACATATAAAATTTGGTTGCCTTCCCCCAACAGACTGACTAAACTTCCAAACTTTTTTTTACATTGCAAGACAGGATGTTTTTTTTTTCTTTTTATCCATCTTATCTCATCAACAAATATTTTGAAATTTTCTGGGAAAAAGGATTTTAAAACATACCTACCGAATTAATAATTTTACCCAGAGTTGGGAGAGGGCAAACAAACATTATAATCAAGATGGTCTTGCCAACTTGTTTTGACATTATATTGTCTGACTTACTTTCATATTTTCATAAGATACATTCATATCATTTATTAGATATGAGTTTGCCATTTTACTAAAATACATTTCAAAAAAATAACCAGAAAAACAGTTGTTTTGAATTTGAACATATCTTAGTGAATGAAAAGGATTGAACACAATTACAGGCCATTAAAAGATTTGTAAGAATTATTGGAAACTCACTTGTTTTATTTCATATTTAGATTAAAATAACTAGAAGCCTGATTTGTTTCCATGGCAACATATAAATTTACCTGTTACTGAGTTAATTGCAGAAGTAATATTTCATAATTGAAAAGAAATTTAAATGATTGACATATATTCATATTACATAACAGTTTGTGGAGTTTGGTAAAACATGTTCTTAGATGATCTTCTCTGTTAATTGTGATCAATGGGGAGGGGGGGAGGGTCATGCAATAATTTCTAGAAAGTTTTTGATTTACCCATTAATTTTTTTTATTCTCATAAAGCCTTAGAATATATAGTTTATTTAATGATACATGGTTACAAATATTTCAGTTGTCAAAATGGTGAAAAATTTCATTGAATATGACTAAAAAAGTCAATTTTTGCAAATTGCCAATTTTTGTGCAATAATTTCTAGAAAGTTTTTGATTTAACCATTAATTTTTTTAATTTTCATAAAACCTTAGAATATATAGTTTATAAAAACTAATGATAGAATCTAGATTATTTTCAAATCAAACCTGAACATTTCAACTTAGAATGATTTGACTTGTCTTTTAAAAACATTGGATTATAATTATTTTGAAATTTACTGACACGCGCTGTCACAAATATGAATGCATCCCCTTCTTTTCCCTGTCCACTTAAAAGTCCTTGAGATTGGTGAAAAACTGTGCATATTTCATTCTTTGTATTTTGGTAACCGTTTGTACACATTCTTTTCATCATTAAGCTCTCTGAACTGCTGGACCTTTACCAGCTAAACGTCTTCGTCCGACCTCCAATCTTTGGTGTTCTCTCCTCTGCTGATCATTGAGTGACCCGTCACGCTCTCTAAAACGCTAAAACTATTTATAAATAATAGTTCTTCTTTTCCTAGTAAGTCTGATTAATAGATGTTACTGTCTCTAGGGTCCATTATTTACAATTTTATTCAAAAAAGCATTACAGCTACTTGCTGTGGTGTTGATAATTTTAAATTTGTGATTTCCTTTCTTCTATGCGTCAGAGAAAAAAAAATCACTGTTAGTTATCGAAAATGGCAATGGCTTGAACCTCAGAAACATCTTTTTTCATTTTTAATTTTTTTTTCAATAAATTTACAAAAAGAGACGTGGTATGAATATCTAACAATTGAAACTTTGTTCATGAATAATATAATACTTTTATACGAAAAGATGCTATGACTAAAAAAATCACAATGAAAGTTCATTGTTTCCAGTGTCAATTATATTTTAGCCAATACATGTATGTGCCTTTTAGAAAAAAAAATAGAATATGATACTATAAACTCCATATATTTACACATCCAATAATCGTACAAATGCTCCTTTAACTTTATAGTCGATCTAAATATCGGAATCTTGTTGGCGGCCTATGCCCCAAAAGGGGTAGCAGGCATAAGTAAGAAAGTAAGTAAATATCGTGTAGCTTTATATGATTTAGCATCAACAATAATCGTTTATCTCATGTTTGGAGGCTAAGAGCAGTAACCCTATATTGATATTTTATATCACAAGAATTTAACAAAAGAATGGTATGATTTATTTTAATAATTGCCTGATATGTTTGAACCTATTACATGTAAATGTATTTGGTTTTGTTTTTCTTCTTCAATTTTTTAGGCTTTAATTTATACTTTTGATCACATTGACCATATTTGATGTTTATATTAACTTAACAAACTTAATAACATTACCAAATATTGTGTAAAATACTTGAAAGAACGATTACTGTAAAAAAAATATGAAAATTATTTTTTTTGAAATAACGCTATAATTATGACCTAGACATAAAATAATTTAAATATTCTTTAATAAGCACATTTAGATAATAATAGGATATATTAAAAATAATACAGAATTAAATTTTCAAATATTACATATTATATTTCATCTGTGCAAGGCTTCGTTCGGAGGTTCTATGCAAAATGTTTGATTAAAACCCATAATTATTATACATACCGCAAAGGAAATGTTGAAATAATTTAACTTATACATTCTTGGTACTAACGATATGCAAAAGCCAGTACACTTTATGACGTCATATTATGACGTCAGCAACATGTATACTCCCTTCTCATTATATCGCGGGTTCCATTGTATCGCGGTATTTCCAAAAATACGCATTTCCGGTTTTTCTCGCGATTTTAGCGCCACCTATGGTAAATAGACTTAAGATCGTCTGCAAATAAGTTGTAAAATATCTCAAAAATCATGGTAAGTGTCTTATCTTTTTTAATTACAAGTATTTTATTTAGTTTTAATTAAGGTGTTTAAAAAAATATTCTAATTTTACCCGAAATAAAATAAATCACAGCATAAATTGTCAGTCTACCGTCTGGGTTGTTGACATTAGTCATAGTAATGAAGTCATGTGATGTTCTAAAACAAAAACTATGGAACGCTGTTCTCAGATAAATTAATTGAAATATAATGATAGTTAGCAATGTTCAAAAAAAGGTTTAAGTGAATATTTTTATTGTAGAATAAAACAAAGAGGTTGCAATATGACCGAAATAATTTGGAAAGAGCCCACACAGCTGTCATTTCTGATAATGTATCAGTTTATAGAGCAGCCATGGTTTACAAAGTCCCTGAATGCACTCTACGGGATAGAACAAAAGGAAAAGTGTCATTACAAACAAAAGTGGGTAAAGAACACCTGTTCACTGAAAAAGAAGAGAAAAATTTTGTAGACCATTTGACATACATGGCTGAAATAGGCTATGGATATACGAAAAGCAGCATCCAATCTATGGCAAAAGAGTTAACTTTGCTATTTCATTAAAAAAAAAACTAACAACAAAATAACAAAATTCAGTCAAACTGAGCAATAACTGGTTTTACAACTTTATGAGCAGATGGCCTCAACTAAAACTTGTCAAGCCCCAGAAGCTCTCTGTGCATAGGGCTAAGAGCACGTCAGAAAAAAAAATTAAGAAATACTTCGAAGAGCTCTCTAAAATCATGACAACAAACAATCTGTTGGACAAGCCCAATCGAATTTTTAATATTGATGAAACCGGTATTACCACAGATCATGTGCCACCTAAGATAGTTTGCAACAAAAACACCTCAGCACAGGCTGTTACATCTCCAAGGTCATCCACAATTACAATTATTGCTGCAGGAAATGCTTTGGGTAACCACATTCCTCCATATTACGTGTTCCCGGGCAAGAGATGGATGCCTGCTTTTCTTGAGGGAGCTGTACCAGGAGCATGCGGTGAGATGAGTGAAAGTGGTTGGTCAAATGGTGCAGTATTTGAAAATTATCTGACCAACCACTTTGCACGCCATGCAGGCATCACTGATGACATAAATCAGGAACCCACTCTGATCCTTTTTGATGGCCATAAATCGCACATACGACTTACTTTGACAAATTGGGCCCGCCAAAGGAATGTGATTTTATTTCTCCTGCCACCCCATAGCAGTCATATCACCCAGCCACTAGATGTAGCCATATTTGGCCCGCTTAAAAATATGTATTACAGATAATGTGCCACATATATGCAACAAAATCCTGGAGCAAACATTACTAAGTATGAAATTGCAAAATTAAGCAGCAAGCCCTATCTAAAGGCAATGTCACCTGATAACCTTGTTTCCTCCTTTCGGAAAACTGGGATATTCCCTTTGCAACCAGATATTTTTGAAACAACACCAGGAACATTAGCGCCTGCAACCATCTATGCAAATGAGGATTTACAACCGACTTTGACAGAAGACACAGAGGTGATGGATGATCATGAGGGAGTTGCACAACCAACCACAAATAGTGAACACAATAAGGAAAATGTTAGTCCCTCTGAATTTTTGATAGTAGAACAATCAAAAAAGAATCTGTAACAAAAATTAAGAGAAAAGGAAACATCTCAAAATAAGAAGCAAAAATTAGAAAAAGAAAAAAAGCCAGAAAAATCAAAAGGAAAAGGAAACACTTCAATTACTTCAAGTCGTTCAAGTCCGGTCCCAAACCAGGAACATCTGGCATTCAGAGCAAAGTGTCCAGCCCCATACCTGTAGATACATCAGATGATGACATTTTAACAGATGACGATGAAGTTTGTTGCATTTGTAACAAATGGCAACCAGAGGAACTTTCCCATATGGCAGGCATCAGTTTTGTAAGCTGGGGACAATGTGACATTTGTGGACACTGGACCCATCTAAAATTTTGTTCTGCAGTTAAAGTTCTCAGGAGAGGAAGTGAATTCAAATGTCCACATTGTATTTAAACAATTCAAAAATAATAATTATAAATATAACTCAATAAAAATTAAATGAATGCAAATTTCATTTCAGTTCCTGTTTATTTGTGATATATTATATTTAATTCATCATCAACAACAACAAAATATGATAAAGGAATAAAATAATAACCGTGTAACTGAACCAGGCTTCCATACATTCAGTACCGCGATACAATGGAACTCTCCAATTTAAAAGGTAAATAAGACTACTGTGTTTTAAAATTAGCTCATAAAAAACGAAGACAGGTTGAAAAATGGTGTTCCACTGAAAAGTTAGCCAAATGTAAGCTTTATATATAGCAACCATTGATATGTTAAAATTACAAAATCTAATATCTTTTTTAAGGGGAAACAATTAAGTACCGCGATATAATGAGACACCAGTATACAACATAATTTTATAAGATACATTAACAAAATCGCTCGGGCGCAGGGGCATGCCTTACTATGTTTTAGAGAAAAATGTATAAAGAGACGCAGAACATTCCAACGATTTAAGACATTGCTGCACAAACGTCGACACTGCAATTGTTTATTTACTATTCGTACAGTTCTAAGTTGAAACAGGGTAAAAATTCACAGTCCAATGCAAGTTTCCTTAAATTTTTATCAATTGAAAAAGTGCATAAGAATTGTTCAGCAATTTTACTAATTTTAAGAATATTCTTCTTAATATAATACATTATTATTTTTTAAATCCATTAGGCTTGTGCCGACGTTGTTTTGTTTATGCGTTTTTTACCTTAAATTGGAAAGAACAATGACGTCATGATATGCACTTACATAATTATACTGTGGTTAACCCCCTTCCCCGCAGTCACGCATTTTAACGCATATACAATTTCCTATTTCTGACGCAAAATCACGCATTTACCGTTTCCCCGCAATCACGCAATTTCACGCACTTTAAAGAGTTCATTAAATCTTCAATTTATTGCCAAATTCCAACTATTTCATACTTGCTTAATCTCATAAAATAAGAAAAAAATATTTTCTAATTAAGATAATGCGTTATGAAATTATTTATGCTAAACTTTAGAGAAATGTGTACCCTGCTAGAAAGTGCCTGCGGGGAAATGGTAACGTAATATTTGTATGACGTGACGATTCAGTTTATTTTGCATAACAATTTCGTAAGTTGTAAAGTGTTAATATGTATGTATGTATAAGAAAATCAATTTGAAATAACTCCGTACATAAAGTATACAATTTATAAATTTTTATTAGCTCATTTGCATAGAAAAGCTTATAATTAGCCTTTACTTACTTGTGTGATTAATTAATTAATGTGAATTATCAATAGCTCAATGTTCTATTTATATTTTATGATAAGTAGGCAAATACTTAACGTATCAAGCTAACTTGTTAACATCTTTATTTTTTTTTCTGTTTTATGCCTAACAGGACAGACGTTAATTTGAATACCGATACTAAAAAATCGTTCTTGTGAGTATTTTACTTGGAATAATTATTATAAATTATGTGGAAATGTTTCAGCTATATAATAAAGGAGTTATTGAACTTATATTGGTGAATATTGGCACTTGTTGGCTGTTCAAATGCACTCGCAAGCTCGTGCATTTGAACAGCCAACTCGTGCCAATATTCACCAATATAAGTTTAATAACCCTATAGTATAGAAAACTAGAATGAAGACGGACTGAACAAAAACAAGAGTGGGGCGTCAGATGCCTTTACCTGAAGACCGCTGTTTAACAATTTGATCAGTTAGGCTTATAATCAGGGTTGTAAATAATCTATCAAAAGAATTAATAGTTTTTTTTTCCTTTTATTTATGCTAATGTTTGAGTAGTATAGCTTGGTAACTATTACAAAATTAGAAACAGTGCCAAATGTATGCTTAAATGATTTTTAAGAGGCACAATATCTCTTTTGATTGATTGATTGATTGTATATTGTTTAACGTCCATCTTGAGAATTTTTCAATCATATGGAGACGTCACCGGGCTTCAAATTTAGACCTATACTCGGCACTCAGGGCCATTGAGCAGTGAGGGTTCTTTATCGTGCCAGCGCCTACCGTGACACGGGACCTACGTTTTTAAGGTCATATCCGAAAGACCCGTGACTTTCACTTCTGATGCCGAGCGCTTGGCGAAGGAACAGTCACTACCTATTTTTACGTCTTTGGTTTGACGCGGCGCCGGGAACGAGAATCGAACCCGGACCTCCCGATCACGAAGCGAACGCTCTACCACTAGGCTACCGTGAACGGTCAATATCTCTTTTGAAGGTTTCAGATTTTTTAGATTCAGATTAGATTAGATTTAGATTAGAAGTGAGAAAAAATTATTTATAAAGGTACATGTATTCCATTGACAGGGGCGTAGCAACAGGGGGGGGCCTGCCCCCCCCCCACTCTTTTTCCCCAACCTTACTTATACTATAGGAAATGTTAATTGAAAGCCTGGTTGCCCCCCGCCCCCCACTGTTAGTTATGTACTGAAAATGTAGTAATAGAATTGGTACTGCAAGTAATTGACACTGAAAAAAAAAACCTTTACCCCCCCCCCCCTGAAAAAAAAAACCTTTACCCCCCCCCCCCCCCCTCCCCACCACCACCACCACCACGAAATAGGATTTTCGACTCTGGGCAAGTTCCCCCCCCCCTTTTTTTTTTGTTTTTTTTTTTTTTTTGCTTGTCGACTTTTTCAGGTAAGTAAATAAAAAAAAAATTTCTCTGGCCTGCCCCCCCCCCACTTTCAAAAACGATGCTACATGTACGCCACTGATTGAAATTTGAAAAGGCACCATTTAAAAATTTTGGTCGTGATGTATGGCTGTTTTTTTTTTTTTTTTACTTTTTAGTCCTAGTGAAACGAAAGATATTAAAAATGTTTGCTTTTTTCTTGGACAACCCTCATACATCAAGGGTAAGAATGACAACCATATTACTTCATATTCATTGTTGATCATATCTATGTATTTAGCGTATAATAAATTGAACATATAAATACAATACATACAATACACATATCTCGGACGTGTTGGAAGTTTTATCACTATTTTACAATTGTTTTATTAAAATTAGTCCTGAATTAGAATGAAAAATACATTTTATATTTAAAATTAGATGGACGTAAGCACTTTTTGTATTATCTGCAACTCCATGCTGTCCCAGTCCCAGTTTTCACTAATGAAAAAAAAGTACTGTCATCAATATAAAGAAATCGCAAAACATACAATTTAAGATACTTTTGAAAATCTCGTCACTCTTTCTTGACAGGAATTATTTGTTTATCGAAAACGGCTTCAGTTTCGAAGACAAAAACGCAAATTCAACAAGGTCGATAAACCAAACATATATTCACTTCAGTTCATCATAGTGGGAAGGTTGACTTAATTGGCCAAGTTCTTGGTAACCTGCGTTATCTTCCTCTCCCACAATTTTAGCTGTGTTTGCGGGTTCCGAAAGATCCTGTTGTCTTTTAAAATTGTCTGAGTTTTGTCTACCATTATCGGTTCGTCTGATATTTCTGTAACGTTACAGGCAATACATAAAAATATTATAAACTAAAAGAAAATAACGAAGTCTACTTAATTAAAACAAATATAAATTCTGCGTAAAAAATAATAAATTTAAAAAATTCTTTAAGTCTATTTTATTAAAACAAATGTAAATGTTACACAATTTTTTTTTAATAATGAGAACAACTCACCGAACAATGAGAAATATGTTGAGCGTAGCACTTATAACGAGAATTGTGATGACAGCGTACAGAACTGAATAAACATCTGAGTGTGAACTGATTCCTCGCTGTTGCTGAACTAATTAAAAAAGACAAAAAAAAAATTAATGGAAAATAATTTAATAAGCAAATAATCCATGGTGACTTTATTGATGAGGTGTCAAAGCACGTTTCTTTTACCCCCTGTCCTTTTCTGAACAGAAAACGCAATTTCTTGTATCTGAAAATGGACATATTGGTAATCCTTGACAATGCTTTCAATCATTCTAATCATTCAGAATGACTAAGACATACAAACCTTTCAAATATTCATCAGGAAATATGTTTTCCTTTCATTAAAACTTAATTTATCCATTCAGTAAATTAACAAGGAAGTTTATTATATTCTGCAAGATTTGTGTCTATTCTTAAAGATAAAGAAGACTGTACGGTTTGAGCTTTATTGTGCCCTAAAAATTTTAATTAATGTTCTTAAAAGTTATGAAATTGGTTTTAACAATAGTTAATTAAATGAATATGATAAATCATTAAAGAATGCGGCATGAAGAAGAGCCTTTCTTGAAATATGATGTCATTTATTTCGTACATTTTTAAGTTTAATCCAGAAAAGCTTCAAAATAACTCGTTTTTCTGTTAACCCTTTCTCTACCGGCACATTTTAAGCTTTTTTGCAAACCTTTTAACATATCCTTATAAATCAATTTATAACTTTTTTATTCAAAGAGTAATCTAAGCACAATGTATACCATTTTGTAGGGAATTTTCTGGAGATGATATTTCATAACTATGCAGGTACCTCACGACTGACCTTGCTAGTGGAAATTGAGGTCAAAGGTCAAATTAGTGCAGAATTTTATTGCATTTTTTGACACATTTTAATTTTCAAGTTAAAAATTAACAGTGATACACATTGAAATAGGAAATTCAGAATAAACCCACAAAAGGGCATTATCCTGTACTACATTAATCACATAAACTTTTTTTTCAATTCTGCAAATAATGACTTTAAAGAGGTTGCTAAGCAACAGAGTATTTTTCAATTTTCAGGCAGTATTTCTTGTTTTTTGCTCATCCCACACACATTTATGCATTCCATTACATTGTAAAGTCATATGTGGGGTAATGATACTGAAATAATATACATCAGATAATTGTCTTAAAGTTTGACCTCATCAGATTCACTTTTTTTGGAGGTCAAAGGTCAAATAAGTGCATAATTTTAGAAATTTTTCCCAAAACTTTTCATCTTTCTTGCTACAATTTGTAACAATGGATGCTAAAGAAGAAAATTCTGAATTTACTCTTTAGAAGGCATCATACTGTATTGCAATATCCACATATTATTTTTGTTCAAATTTGTGTTAAATGACCTTTAAATGGTTGCTAAGCATCAACAATATTCAATTTTTTGGCTTTATAGGTTTCTTACTTCTTATTCTAGACAGTTTTCCATGGTATCGTTTGTAAGATATAAGGTCAAAAATAATGTATAAAACATCCAACAAATAATTGTCTTAAGTATTGACCCTGAAATTTCTGTTCTTTGGGGGTCAAGGTCATATCAGTACAGAAATCTACCTTAAATTGTTAGTATATATCAAATTTGAAATGCTGCAATTATTATGGACATATTGTCCAATAACTGACACATAAAATTGTAAACAACAAAATCAACATAAATATCACAAAAGTGAATAGTTTTGTTTTACTTTGTTTTTTCTTTTTTTCAAATCTTGGTTGTCATTCAAAAAATATATCTCTGACTAAAGTAAACTGGAACAAAATTTGTAAGATGTGTTCTCAAGTATTTCAATCTTAGTGACAAATACTATTAAAATCATATTAAGGTAAAAATGTATTGCAACCAGTATCATTTTTTAATTATACAAAAGATAACTTATTTTGTCATTTTCAAAAACTTAGTCAAACACATTTTTTGTCATCTAGAATACATTGTATAAGAAAACATTTGCAATTTTTCTTTTCTTACAAGAATTATTTTACATTTTCAAGTCTTTACTGGGTCACTTGTTAAAACAACTTTTGTCATTTTATAAGCATATGAAAATACAGCAAAGATGGACAAGCACAGAACTTCAGCTACAATCTTTCACTCATCCAGTTTATGTGGCATACAATGACTGAATTTCAGTATCCAAGGATTTCTTTAGTATTTGCTACTCTTCTCATAAACCCTTGACTTATGCTGTCAAAAGTCAGAATTCCTTATATCACATGTCATTGACATGATCTTGAATAACCACTTGCATCATTGATAGAAATAAAGAGCATTCCTAAAAGTGATGTATCCAGCAAAGAATAATTAACAAGCAGATAGGCTTATTTGCTAGTAAGTTTGCAGGTTTTTATCTCTAACTTTAGATTCCAGATTACATTATGTGCACATCATCTTCATGTTGAATGATCTCTCTGCCATCTCTCTGAAAGACCGAGGGAACTCCTTTGATTTGACCGAGACATGCTCAGTTTCTAAATGTATTCTGTCCCGACTCCTGTAACAAATTTTTTTAAAAAAGTTTTGAAAAAGCTTTTCTAATCGAATATGTAGTTTTAATCAGATAATTCAGTATATACAGAAATCTACAATTGGCACATTGATATAACTTTCCTTTTATAATATTGTTAAAAAGTCTTTATAAAGCATATCATATATATTATATTATATATGTCATATTTTGTCATACTTGTAGTTAAATGGTTTGGGGAAGTCAATGTATTATGACTGAAATATTGCAAGCCTTATACTAAACAATCAAGGTTAATCAATTATAAATTTTAAAAAATAGCATAATTAACCATTAATTTTATCAAATGCATGAAGTATCCTTTTTTAATTTCTGTTGTCAGGGTTGTTAAGAGAAAGGGCATGTTGGACTGAAAACTGTCACTTCAGAGAAAAATCCCTGGGACAAGGTGTTTATATATATGGGCTTGTTTGTATGTTATTAAATGTCTCTCTCAAGAATTTCTCTCTCAGATGGAGACGCCACCACTTGTCGGTGGACAGATGCAAATTTTGTTCTATACTCGGCACTTACAGCTATTGAGCTGTGAGGGATCTTTTTCATGCCAGCACCTACTGCGACAAGGGACCTTAATTGGGTTATATAAGTATAAGTATCATATAAGATAAGATATTTTTATAGTGTCTCATCAGAAGAACAGGTCTGCATGTCTCATAGTAAGATTCGAACATGCAATGTAAGGATCGACTCCTTACTCCGTGACTATAGGGCAGAGGTTCTAACCACTGCGCCAGTATGGCTACTCATGTACCTGGGAGTGTTGAATAATAGCCGTCCCGTGGCAATGAGGAATTTTGACTGCAATAAAATTGACTTACTAATAACTAAGCACCTATGTCCTCCACATCATGGTCTTTTCTGTGCATGGTGGCCATTGGTGGGATAAGCAAGTGGGTCTTCATAGATGAAAGTTCTGAAGCCTAAATGGTACCAGCACACTACACGTGCTAAAAAAAATTATGTGTTTGTGTTAATTATGTCATGTTTCATTTTTCTTTGAATGTACTTAGAGGTGGTCAAGAAAACTTACCCACTTCAAAAACAACACGAAAATAAGTCAAACTTATTCGAATCTATCATCGCAAAACATGGTTTGGATGTTCAGGCCCACAATACAAAAATTGATTTGTTTGATGTACTCTGACAGGTCCGGCACAATGTCTTGATTAAGCTATATAGCTTGATTTAGCTATATAGCTTTATTAAGCTATTCGGAATAGCTTAATTAAGCTATTTCATTACAATTTTTTCTCAAATGTTTTATTTTTTCAGCATGTGCAAAAAGTCGCACCTTGTTGCAGTGGAAATATTAAACTTTGAACTCTTCTGAATACAATGCATGTAAAAATCACTCACCAAATTGTGTCTCCTTGAGAGACTTTGTACTCAAATTTTTTGAAGTTTGGGGGCTATTGATGAGTGACCACACAGTTATTTCTTGAATGAAATTATAAAGGAGGTCAGTTATGGCCAACAGGATAACTGATTGGTAACAGTTCAACACAATGAGAAGCAATCATACTTATCCACGCCAATAATTTTTTCAGCACTGTAAACTTTTATTTTTCTTTTTAAATTTACTAAAATTGTTTCATTTTAAAGCAAAGATGTATAATTTCTATAGGATGCTTTCTGACTGAAAGTTTTTATAACAATAAACTTGTGTAGCTAATAAACATGTCAAATGTGTACTGCTAAGAAATCTGTGATTTTATGACAGTTATCAATTTTTCAGCAGTGTAAACCACACGAAAATTAACCACCTACCTACCCATCTTGAAAATGTGGATCGGAGGGGACGGAGTACATCGAACAAAAATATTTTATTGATCAGTCAACACAGTATTCAGATTCCATATTGAGCAGGTCCAGGAAAATCACTATATTTACCTATATAGCTAAATCTACTTATATAGCTTTATTTACCTATAAAATATAGCTTTATTTAGCTATTTCAGAGTAAATTTTTGTTTTATAAAATGCAGACAAAAAGTCGCATTATGAGGCAGTATTAGTTTTCAACTTTAAAATGGACTGAAAACAATTCACCAAAGACCCACTCCTAAAAATGTTTCTCCTTTTGTGCAATTCCAATCAAAGATCTAAAAGTTTTGGGGCTATGTGTAACAGTTAAACTGTGATTAAGCAGCTACTTTAACAAAGAAAAGCAGTTTTGGTCAACAAGATAATTGATTGGTAATAATTCAGCACAATGCAAGGTAATCACACTAAGTCATTATTCTAAAATAGCTAAATAAAGCTATATTTTATAGGTAAATAAAGCTATATAGGTAGATTTAGCTATATAGGTAAATATAGTGATTTTCCTGGACCTGTTGAGAAAAGAGTGACATTGTATTGTAAACAATTTTGTCATCGGAAAAAAAAGTTTTTGTGATCGTTGAAAGAACCGAAAAGTATCATTTTTGGGTTACCGACGATGTCAAACCAGCGAACGGCTTCATATCACATGTACATGTGTATAGCCAGGGTCCAGTCTACTACTATAGTATATAGGTTCTTGGTAGTCTATATATGTCTTTTCATTTCAGTCAATGTACTCTAAAATACTTTTAAACTTTTCAATCAATACTTACTCACATCTAATGCCAAAGAAAAGACCCGTCATATCTGATGAATTGACGTGTTCTCCATCGTAAAATAATCATGAAAATCCATCCTGTTGTTTACTGCTACAGCGGAAACACGTGTTAATCTCGAATAATATCAACTCATACCGTAATGAGTCGTTTAAATGCGAGATTTTGTATTAAATCTTTGTGTTTCAAAGTTTTTTAAATTTCATGTCAGTATATGTTTAAATGTATTTTATATTAAGAATATATTTTAAAGCAAACAGCAAAAAATCTGATTTTTTTACGTAGACCTTTAGGAATCAAACATTATTTTTTATCAACACTGAATGAACTTATTGCACATTGCATAAATAAACAAAAATACATATGTACTATATTTCTCTAAAGGTGTTAAGATAATTACTGTTATTTTAAACCATTTTTTTTTAAATAATGCATCTATTTGAATAAAAATATTTAATTAAATATAATAGTACTAAACATGTTGTTCCGAATGAGGCGCAACGAAAACGACCTTGACGTTAAATATTGACTACATTCAAATTTTCTACAAAAATTACGCGGAGGTTCAAAATTCAAACTATGGCAATTCAGAAAATACCGAAAATAAAGAGACCAGTGAAGGCTTGTTGAAATGGAAATTTTCTCTACTTTTACCAGCTGTATTTTGTTTTCCCTATTTCAACACAGAAATAAAGGTAAAACTGCGTTTAATTTAAATATTACGAATAAAACCCAGAAAAATCACATGCGTGGAAGAAAATTCTTGTTTTTACAAAATACTTAAAAGTAAAAGCAATAATTTTTACATATTTTAAAAGCAGAGAAAATATCCTTTTTAAATATATTAATTTTATTTAAATGATTTAATCAGGAAAAAATATACCTATCGTCAGGATATTCGTCCTTGCTTTGGAAAATTGCGTCATTTTTAAAAAGTCATGAATGTCTTCAAAACGTAAAATCTATTCATTACCGATAAAAAAGGCTCGAAATTTTTACAGGGTCTGAAAGTAGAGAAAATTTCCTAAAAGATGATATATAATTTATATACCTTAATGCTATTATTAAAAATATACAGAGGTCCTGTTATCGCGATGTCGTCTTTTAACGCGCTATCGGTCATATTGACCGATGCGGTAGAGAAGGGGTTAATTTTCCTTTAGAAAATAGTGTCTGCCACCGTCGCCCACTTTAAATTTTGGATATATTGTGCAACCAGCCATGAAAAATCACATATCTCAAAACCTTTCCGGGCGACGGTGGCAGAGTATATTTTCTGAAAGCAAATTCCACTGAAAACTGATGTCTTCTGCAACATTTTAAGAAAATACGGGAAAATGCACAAGTTAATGACGTCACAATTACCATTTAGGAGATCATTTGAGAGAAAACATTAGTGTATTCTTACTGCAAAGAATCCCTATGATTCAGAAAGAATGAATTTTAATGACTTATATCACTTTCATATTTAAAGCCCCCGCTTGAAAAGAGTATACAGAGGGTACAGTGTATATAGTTATCGGTATTTTCGTCCGTCCGTCCGTCCGTCTGTTACGCTTTGGGGTACCCATCTCTTATCCGCAACTCCTCTCATACCACTGAAGGAAATTTAATGAAACTTTCACAGAATATTTATTACATATTGCCATTGTTCACCTCCTATTTTACTTTTAGATCTGACAAATATTTTGGATTTTCCAGAGCAAAACATGGACACTGCCATTTTATTCATATGGGAGGCGGGGGGTATCATTTAGTGAGCTCATTGCTCACAGTACCTCTAGTTTAGAAAGATATAGGGCTTTATTTGTATTGAAACTGTACCTTCTTCTTATATGTAAGAAGTGTAGATCTTAAGATATTTTTCAAACCTCAACATCATGCATGTGCTTTGCTGAATTTTTATTCTTATAATATTATCATCTTTATTCCATGCGAGTCCTATATAACACTAGACAGTAGCATGGGCCAAAAGCTTGCTCAAATATGAATTCTGGATGGTTTTATTGCCTGAAAGCTTATCGGCAATTATTGTTCATATGCCATATATGTTAATTTAAATGACATTTTTTTTCTGCGTTAAAAAGACTACTCTTGTCAAAAAATGTTAATGTTGGAATCAGGTTGTTTGACGGCACTCCTTGTATGTTTGCTGTTTCATGTGGTTCTCTATGGCTGCTTACCCTATTAAGCTTGCGACTTTACAAAAAGTGTATCATCTTTTACCTTTAAAGTTTTCAATGAAGTTGATATTACAGCCCTCTATACACGACCCATTGTCTGAGAAACATGTTCCGTTTAAACAGACTGGGCTACATTGTTGATCACATCTTGGTCCATGATGAGTTCGACTGCATTCTGTAAGTAGATTATATATATCTCCAAAATAATTCCAAAAATACTATATTTTTACTCTGTTGCACTCTATTATGGAATGCTACACGTAAAGCAGGACTTAAATAAAAATAGAATAACTTTAAGCTGTCACTTATTCAAACCTACATTATTAGTCTGATTTATAAAGTCTTTATGATTGATTAATTGTATGTTGTTTGACGTCCCTATCGAGAATTTTTCACTCATATGGAGACGCCACCACTTGCCGGTGGAGGGCTACAATTTTTGTCCTATGCCCGGCACTCAGGGCCTTTGAGCAGTGAGGGATCTTTTTCGTGCCAGCATCTACTGCGACACGGGGCCTCGGTTTATACGGTCTCATCCGAAGGACCGGTCTCCACGTCCCACAGTGGGATTCGAATCCGCGACGTAAGGATTGACTCCTTACTTCGCGACTCTAGAGCAGGCGCTCTAACCACTTAAAATCTTTATGTATTTTCTCCCAAACACTATTCAGTAACAAAGTCTACCGACAAGGTCTCATTTGCATCAAAAGTATAACCATTACAAAACAGAATGTAGAGATTCTTTTTTTTTCTTCTAGATCGATTTTATACAACATGAAAACTACTGTAAAATCACATATTTTCATTGGATGAAATTTTCGTGGTATGAGGAAAAAAGTTGGTTCGTAGAGATTTGATTTCGTGGAGCAAGATCTTTTAAATAGTTGTGTAAAAGTAGTTATGAAAATTAACATTTCGTGGTAGTCATAAATTGGTGGGTCTCTTAATACCACGAAAACAACGAAAATTAAACCTTCACGAAAATAAGTGATCTCACTGTTTATTTTTTATTATTTTTTCTGCAAAAAAAAACTCTCAGAATAAACACATATATTTATGATTAATGTACATCAAAAGTTCACTGCTAATAGTGTATAAAAACTCAACCCTTTATTGAAATACCGTACAAACCGTCACGGTAACTGAAACAAGAAAGCGCTAGGTCCGTGATAGGATGGTCATATGTTCGAATTACGGCTGTTACTGATCTTAGTCGATTAAAAAATATGTAGCAATGTTCCTTTGCCAAGCGATCGGCACTTTAAAGTGAAGAACCTTGTAAACCGATATATATTATTGACAAACACAATCCAAAACAAAAAGGGAAAATCAAAATTCCCTTTTTTTCACCCAAGGTTTACAATCTGAAGTCATTTTGGTCTTAAAATCCTTATATGTGTCTCCACAAGTTCCTTTTTTGAAGATTTTTCTTAAGTATTTGAGGAACGTTCCTCTTTATACACTTCAGATGCATTTGTTATGACCAGAGATTTGAGGAACGTTCCTCATTCTACACTTCTGGTGCATTTGTTATCACCAAACATTTGAGGAACGTTCCTCTCACTCTCTTTCTCTGAACTTCAGATTCATTTAGTATGACCAGAGATTTGAGGAACGTTCCTCTCTCTGAACCTCAGATGCATTTGTTATGACCAGAGATTTGAGGAACGTTCCTCTCTCTAAACTAAGATGAATTTATTATCAACAGACATTTGAGTAACGTTCCTCTCTTACATGTGCACATACAGCGTGTATTTTTAAATACTTTAAGAATCTTAACACATGAGACATTTGAGGAACGTTCCTCTCTCAAATTCACTTTTTCTGAAGACATCTCATGAATGGTCATGACATCAGGCATTTGAGGAACGTTCCTCGCTCGGATTTAATTATTACTGTAGGCATCTCAAGGATTGTCAAATATCAAGCATTTGAGGAACGTTCCTCTCACAAATGGTTGTCTCATGAATTGTCAAACATTAGGCATTTCAGGAACGTTCCTCACTAAAATTTAACATTGTTCACACGTGATACTTACATGTATGTGAAACGTTCCTCTCTCAGATTTGTATATGTTGATACCTTATTCATATTAAATCAGGCATTTGAGGAACGTTCCTCTCACAAATGGTTGTATTTCTGTTGATTACTTATACCTCATGAAGCTTGCAACCCGTGCATTTGAGGAACGTTCCTCTGTCTTGTAATGAATATCTGTTGATACATTGCAAAGCCCACTTAAAAATAACTTTAAAGGAACGTTCCTCTCTAACATTATCATGTGTTTTGTGATATTATATTAGTTTTTATCGTACATGAAGAATTTGGGAAACATTTCTCTCTTTTATATGAAATGCAGTACATATTCATAGAAACATTTTTTATCTGTACACACTCTACAAAATATATATGAAAAATCATTTTGTCATTTATACAGTACTTTTTGAATTAAGGCTTTCTTAAAGCATAATATAAACTAGGTACAGGAACAAACAAATTTTTCACTTCGGAACAATCATGTGCAATGTGCAGTGTTCATGTATCAACTCAAAGGGCTTTTTCACTGAATGGCAGTGTGATCACATATTACAATATCTTGGTTAACAGGTTAATACCCACAATATTTTTCCTTTCTACCACGAAATTAAACCAAAGTTGTGATGAAGGTCAACCATGTTTATTTCTCGGTTACATCTTTCCCTCATAATAGAGACGATTCCAATTCCTTGGTCTCCAAAGGTTCATAGCATTTTTTCATCAGTCACAGTAAAACAGCCTCAACAAGTTTCCTTGGTGTCATCTTCTGTAGGAAAAATCTCACATTCAGTACAGCATGTCGTATTATCAAAGATGTGATTCAGGCAAAGTTAGAATAATCGAAACAATGTGTACATAATAACAAGTTTTGATGTCTCATCTAAAAATTAAATAGACTGGAAAAATCGATATAAAAAATTGCGAAACTTAAATTAAAATTTTGAACTTTAAATTGCCCATGAATTATGAAAGCATTTCCATACTGTATTAAGAATATTGCAAAATTGACACTTTCTATCTTTCTCATACTATTTAAATGAAACACTGTAAATGTTTTATATTTAGAGTGTACTATATTTGGCGGAAGTTGATATTTTAATAAGTTAGCGTAGGTATGATTTAGCACATTTTAATGTTTTATGTTTAAGTCATTTAGTGTTGTACTTGTATTAGCAGATGTTTCTTTCCGCCAAAAAGCTAAAAAGAATACACCGCCAAATGTTACACGTTTACAGTAATAACTCTGATTTGCAAATTATGTCTGAGAAAAATCATTCTCCTTTATATCTTGCATGTAACACTAATTTAAAAACTAAGTGACAATTGGAAATGTAAATTATAATAATATATAGGTCTTAAGCCCCATACTCCTCAAATGAACATTTTATATACATGTATGATAATATTAGTCATCAAATTTTTTTAATTTATTTCTCTTTTTCCATAGTGCATGCAGGTGTCATATAATATTTCATGGGTTTTATTAATGTATTCTTTAATTTACAAGAACCTATTTTCATTCTGAATCTCAGTTTGTATTATATTGTAGTACTATTGTGTATTTCTTAAAACTGAAGAATTGATTCTACAATAGGGATTTGTCTAGTAACCCTAAGTCCTGTATCATTCTCTACTTTAAAGATAAAGACTTTGAGGACTTGATGTCTTCCTGGCCCCAGCTCACACTGTAATTGTTATTAATCACTGCCAATCATATATGCTCATGGAACACTAGCTATAGGCGATCAGCTCTGGCAACTATCTGTCCCCTGTGACTTCATGGACAGTAAAGATCAGTGCTGATGCTATGATGACTTGATCGTGTTATAGATAAACATGTCTCTGCAGTCAGAAGATTGAAGCAATTAATTTACATTGTAGAACAGAGCTCAAACAGTGAGAGAATTAAGATCTTGTTAGAGTTTTAAATTTTACTCCTTAAAATTTTGATAGTTTCAATATATTTAAAAAACAAAAAATGTAATGAAATTTATAATTACGCTGTAAAACTTTACTAATTATTCTAGTTCGGGAATAACAAATATCAGGCTAAAATCTGTTTTGTACATATTAAATGCAAAGACACATTCCACAGAATTATTTTGTTAAAAAAAAAAATAATAATAATGTGAAAACAACATCTCCTGCACTTAATTGTCAGATCTTAAGGAAGCAGGAATAAGAATCCATATTTCCAAAAAAAAAAGCCCTTAAAAATGTTTTATTGATTTAGAATATTTTATTAAATTATTAGCACATGTATTAAAAGAAATGTACTAAGTAATACAATTCTACAATTTTTTTATTTTTATTGATTGACAATTGCTCATCTTCCTTCCCCCTTTTCAAAGTCAGATACTTTGATAATGAAACTATCTTTGATTTAATTGTTAATTTCAGAAACATGCACTCTGAATTTCACAGATTTCCTATATCTTGGATTGCTGTGTGGGTCATTTGGGATTTAATAATTTAGCCAGCTGCAGCAAGGTCAAAAGTCTATGTTATCTGTAAAACTTGAGGTCAATTTATATAACCCCGGTCTTATCTGCTTTCATTATGTAGAAATAATTTAAGAAGATTTTCTTCAACTCTTTGAAATTACATTCACCAACACTGGAACACTGAGTTTCTTAGAATAAGAATTTCATTATTGTACATACCAGGCATGTGTTATAAAAATGAACCTTTCTTATGAAACTGAATAGTGCATTTTTTCTCCGCTTTAACCTAATAAATAAATCATAAGAAAATTACGGCTATATGCATAAAATGATGGAAGTATCAACTAGTGAAACCGTTACTCGTATTTTTAGTAATACTATTTTTCTTTTATCAGGGACCGGACACTGAGTACATAAGACATGATCTGCCGATCAACCATACATATAAAATGTTTAACTAATATACAATTTTTTAAGATCTGAATTATAAATACTTATTTATAATTAAATAATACATATTCTTAAGTTATTGTTAAAGTATTAAACTAATCCTTAACAATAGGTGTATGTAGGAATATAAACAAGATGCCACCTTTGGATTTTTTTTAGAATTAAATATATTTTTCAGTGGGATAGTGATGATTGACAACTAAAAGAAACTTCATATTCACTCTATTTTGGACTGCATTCCACTTTAATTAATATTAAAAATCTGTTAAAACAATTAATGCAATACATAAAATGTGAGTTTGTAACAAATTATTTATTTTTTAGAAAAGATTAGTATATAGAATGACAAGAAACCCTTTAAGATAAAGGTTTTGTTATATATGTTTCTTTAAATTGTACACGTGTACTTAAGCTTTGATCATAATCCTTGCAGTTGATAACACAACAAAATATGCCTAGAATTTTTATAAAAATAGAAGAAATTTTCCCGGTAAATTGTTTCAAAAAAGTGTTTAAATCTTTTATAATTAGTTTTTTTTTTTAAATTATCCTTATTATTTTAACCGCAGCATATAGTTTAAAAGGATACAATATTGAGTATAATAGTTTATTGAATTTGTGTCTTTTTTCCATAATATTTCAAGATAACCAATTTATAGTAAAATTTTAACATGTTTTTTTAGCAGGGTATGATATTAGACAAGGTCACTATATTGCTAGCAAAGAAAAACAAATGATTTTAATATATTAAGTACTCCTGTTCATACACACAAGTAAAAGAGCTAACAATATCTTGGGAAAGAATAAACATTTGACCAGTGACCACTTAGTGAAGCCGACAAAACGATAATTGTCTCAGAGTTTAAGATTTCAGCATTGGCCATACATAAAAAAACTACGGCTCTGTTTCATCTAAACACATTAATTCTTTGACACACTAGATTATTCCTTTGAGCCTCGTTGAATGTGTTCTGCTCTGCTCTAAAACCATCAGAATTAACAGTGCTGAGCATCTAGTCAAGCACGGATGATTTTTGGATTGAACTAGGTGAAACACAGCTATTGTCCTCTTTATCAAATCAATTAATGTTTTATTAAAAAAAAGCAAATAAGACACTGACTTGGCATATAAAATATACCAGGTCTGTCCAAATTTTAATTCAAAATAGAGTGTACGTCTCTTATCAATAATTTATAGTTAATACATGGACATGTTAAATCATGCCAGTTTACAAATTAAAAATATACCCGGTAATACAAATTAAAAACACTACATAAATATGTATATTTTGCATATTTTTAGAAAGTATATAGGATAAGTTCAGTGGCAAGGGGGGGGGGTAATTTTTTAAGGAGCAAATTCTCAATCAAAGTTTCCTGTGTTAGGAAGCCAAAAAAATTAGTATGGGCATGGACCCCACCCATCCCCACTCCCACCCCCCCCCCAAAAAAATAAATAAATTGAGATAAGTAAATGATGAATAATAAAAAAAAATTAACAAAATACAGTAAAACATGATTTTTGCCAACACACTTATGTTGAATTGAGTTACAGCGAAGTGCTTTTATTCCCTGTGACTTAATTATGTATTTTTATCTTCATAACGAATTTCGCTCATAATAATGCAAAATCATCCGTCGATCCCTGGCACTGCTTTTTAAACATGTTTTACTATATTCAATATAATTAATCTATTTCCTGCCATGTACAGCATTTGAAAACATATATTATATAGGAATTCATAGAATTTCTAATTTTCCCAACTAATAATGAAAATTATGACTACGGTACTTACTTGATTTGTTTAGGACACTTTAATCATTTCTCTGAAATGTTGCTGCAAGTGGTGTCATGAGGGTATTCGTTTTCTTTTACATTGAAATCCAGGGCATATCATTTTGTCTGAAATTAAAGTAAATTTCTCATTTTAATTTACTGGTATTTGGAAGTGTCTGACAGCTTATATTTCAGCAGGATTGATCAACTCTGACTAAGTTATTGATAAAATATTTTATTTTAATTTTTATGCAAACAAAGCATATAAAGAATTTTCATAAATTGATATTATTTGCATATATACCTTGATAAATCCTTAACTGTGAAGAACTGCAACATCCTGTTTTATTCAACAATCTTTCGATGTGATGAGCATCTTCTGAATTGAAATCGTGAACATTTTGGTAGGGTTGAGAGATGGATGTGTCCAAGACTGATAACACACCCAAGATTATCAGTGTGCAGTTTTTTGATTGACATTTCTTCAGTTAGTGGCACCACATGTTTCCATTCAAATATGTATGGAAGGGTCGCAGTTGCACATGTGAACAGCTATCATTTAAATGCAACTATTATTTGAAGGGGAATTCGAAATTGGAGAAATAAGACATTGATATATCTGCGTGTTATACTGTGTTATACTGTGATATACTGTGATAAAGTTATAAAATTAGTTTTGGTCATAAAACTGCGTGATGAAGTAAGTAGAAACACGTGCATGATTTTCAAATGTCAATGTATGTTCAACTTAAGAGAACTTACTGGTCAATGCACTGACTTTTCATAAATTAATCTTGGATGAACTATACTAAAAAAGCTAAGGGTAAGAATACTTTTCCTGAAAGATTTTTTCATTTAATAAATATCATAAAATTTCAATTGTTAAAGAAAATTGTTTATTTTAGTGTAAGAAAGCATTGCTTTATACAACAGTTTTATATCATAATGATAAATGCAAGGGACCAGGGGAATGGTATAACTTTTTTTATCAATTCCTTGTTGTAGATTTATATTTCTCTTGCACGATTCAAACAGTTGCCCTTTTTTCTCATTTAAAATAAAAATAAACATTTACTCTTTATTCAGCAGATATACATTCCTATATCCAGAGAAGTGACCTAATGACCTCAAAATAAAATGTGATCATGTATACTCCTAAAGGAGTGGTACCAACGAGTTTAATGTCTGTAATAATAAGAGGCTTTTCACAAAATTGACTGAAAAATGATTTCCTTAAATATTAATTGTCAAGAATGACACGTACTTGATCTTGTGATCGAGTTATGATCCCCAAATCAAAAGTGGTCATATATTTCTTAGGAGGACTACAGATCTAGTGCATTAAATTATTTTTCAAACATTAGAATCTCAAGTTACTGAAATATTGAGTAAACAATACTTTTCTATTTCTAGATCAGTTTGAGCTTTGTGCTTTCACCTTGTAACCCAAAATCAGTAGGGGTCTTTATTCCTTTGGGAGTATCAGTATACTAAGTTTGATGTCTGTAAAGCAAAGGGTTCCCAAAATTTTAAGCAGACATTATTTTTTTGTGTCAGAATAGTCTCAACCTTGAAATTTGACTTTATGAAATCAACAGGATTATCTACTCTTTTACGTTAGGGAGTACCTGGGTGTACAGCTTTCTTCAAATCCAATTATACTCTGATTCATGTATAAAGTTATATAATAACATTTGAAATCAGAAGAGGAGTATTCGACATGAATCCATTGTCAACAGTTGGAAGAGGAATGTTCCTCCAGTCCAGTGTCAAATTTTGAAATGGGGAGAGGAACGTTCAGTGTATTAAGATTCATGGTTGTAGTGTTTTTGATAGGAATTGGTAGAGGAACGTTCCTCAAATGTACTGTTTATATACATGTAGTATGTATTATCAATTGAAATTGACTGATGAACGTTTGTGATATTGTGTGTTAAAACTTGTAAATACAGTGTCAAGTTGAAAGAGGAACGTTCCTCCAGTGTATATAGTATCAATATTTGAAATTGGATGAGGAACGTTCCTCAAATATGTTGTGTTTAGACTAGTAAATCCAGTGTCAATAGTTTGAAGAGGAACGTTCCTCCAGTGTACATGGTGTATATAGTATCAATATTTGAAATTGGAAGAGGACCGTTCCTTTAATGCCTAATATTTGAAAATTCATGAGATGCCTACGGTAATAAGTAAATTTGAGAGAGGAATGTTCCTCAAATGCCTGATGTGTTCATTCATAAGGTATTTAAAAATACACACTGTATGTGCACATCTGTAAGAGAGGAACGTTACTCAAATGTCTGGTGATAATAAATGCATCTTAGTTTAGAGAGGGGAATGTTCCTCAAAAGTCTGGTCATAACAAATGCATCAGAAGTTCAGAGAGAGGAACGTTCCTCAAATCTCTGGTCATAACAAATGCATCTGAAGCTAAGAGAGAGGAACGTTCCTCAAATCTCTGGTCATACCAAATGCACCAGAAGTTCAGGGAGAGGAACGTTCCTCAAATGTCTTGTCAAAACAAATGCATCTGAAGTGCGAGAGAGGAACGTTCCTCAAAAGTCTGGTCATAACAAATGCATCTGAAGTGTAGAAAGAGGAACGTTCCTCAAATACTTAAAAAAATCTTCAAAAAGGGAACTTGTTGAGACACAAATAAGGATTTTAAGACCAAAATGACTTCAGATTGTAAACCTTGGGTGAAAAAAAGGGAATTTTGATTTTCCCTTTTTGTTTTGGATTGTGTTTGACAATATATGTGAAACATTCTACAAAGGGAGGTAAAACAACGTATTAATCTATTAAAAAGCGCGTCATCAATTGAATAATTTTAATCTTAAATTTCTATTGAAATATACTCTGATTGTAAATGAGTATTTTACGGTATTCCCTTAAGCTTCTGCAACTTATCCCTGATATGAATTAAACAATTAAATGTATATGTTTCCTCATGTGCAATCTTTAAGGGTAATTTATAGAAAAAATAGGTTTTAAGCACGGAATGCTTTAAATTCATGAAATTTAGGTTTACCTGCGCATTTATCTCCTGTCCAGTTCGGCTTACATCCGTTAATACAAACTCCATTTCGACTGCAGATAGTTTGTACACAGTTTTCACTACATTGCATATTACATAAGGAACCGTAAAAACCGCTGATGCAACCATTGCTGCAATGTCCATCTATTGGTCTACATTCCTTATTTAGGCAGTTATTGCTACATTTTTTATCGCACTGTGATCCGTAAACACCTTTATTACATGTTTCACAATTCCCAGTATTTCTGCTACAAATACCAGTTCCGCAGTTACCACAACGATCTTGACAATAGCTTCCATAATACCCAGATACACATCCAGTCGTACAGAATCCCGTGTCTTTATTACATTTTTGTCCAGAACACTTCGAATTACAAAGCTGTTCGCATCTATCGCCATAATACCCGTCGATACAAGAATTACAGATTCCATCAACTCTATTGCAAATCTTCAAATGACAAAAAGACGGGCAGAAATTCTGACATTTATTCCCCCAGTATCCTTCAGTACATCCTAGAGTGCAGTATCCATGCGTATCACATTGCTTTGCTACGCAATAAGGACTGCATAAGGCAGCTAGAGAAAGAAAACATCGAGATTAAAAGTATGCATCATTCCGTTTTATCATAAGACTGACATATCATAAATGTAACTATGAATTAATTTTCTTATTAAAAAAAAAAAAACAAAAACAAAAACAAAGAAAAAAAAACCATATGACTAATTTTAATTTATGTCAGAGCAACTGCAAGGAATAGTTGCGAGGGTTGATCCAAAAGTAATGTCACAACTTCGATAAAATTGCTCCTGGTCGACGTAAATTGACAAAATTACAGATGATGGAAGCTATATTGATTTCGAATCAGTCCTGAAAAAATTCAAATAAAAATGATTCATACTTTTCAAAATATCGAATTATATATAAATTGTGCTTATGATAGTCCCGGCACGTAAATAACGTCATATGACGAATATGCGCTGTCATACACCTTTAAAAACGATTCTCCTTCTTTTAATTTAACACATTGATATTCAATGCATTCACATATTTTACTTTCTTTAAGAATTATTGGCATCAGTTGTGCACTCTATCCATAATTCAGCCCTTTATCAAAAATCTTTGAACATTATCATCAAACTTATCTCACATTGTTCAAACTGTACCAGCTTGACACGAACCTCTTTTTCGACAACGTCGACGCCATTGAACGTTTTCACCCGACCACCTATCTTTCGGTCTTTCTGTCCTCAACTTAAATTACGCATGATTTGCCCCAAATTACCGAAATCATCTTTGAACGTGCCTCTTGTTTACATTCTTTCCTCTGATTTACATCATAAGTGTCTCTACTGGAGATTTCCAGATTTTGAAGGGAAGAAAGCGTTACAACTCGTTTGGGCGTTTTTTCTTTCCATTTCTACATTCCTTTCGTGCAAAACATCCGATATAAACAACAATATTATGATTAAAAAACAATGACGTCATTTAATTTTTGACTTAGGACTAGAAAATGTAAATCTTGTCTTTTAAGATATTAGACGATTGGACGCTTTTTTTAGATGCTTTTTCAAATGTGTTGTCTTTTTTTCATTCTAACAATATACACTTTAAAAAAGCGACGTTTTGTTGTGACGCGTCGACACCCCCTATGCTTGATGTTATAAACGTCTACAAAATGAATTGAACTAAACATAATTTAATGAAATTTTCAACTTTGAATAGATTTATTTATAGATATCTTTTGGTGCATTATATTTAATTTGATAATATAACGCCAAATATTAAAGATATGGGCACAGTGACATATTACATTTGAATCAACCATCGTATTTTCCGTAATAGCTCGTTAGAAAAAAAATAATTTGAATTTGTTTCGTGGTTAAGATTCTCTCTCAAACATACATCCTCTCACCCACACCAAATGGTGATAGAGAGCTGGAAATTTAAATAAGATCTATGGGTCATTATCAACTCAGGATTTTTTGTGCCATTTTCTACTGGAACCTCGATTTATAGGTCTCATTCGAAGGTCCGTTTGTATATCTTGTAGTGGGATACGGTTTAGGAATTTCAGAAAGGAAATGAAATGCACTTTTAAAAAAATATTCTTTGAACGTATTTTCATTCATTGTAATAGAATATTCATACACCTCTTTAGTCAACATGTAAAAAATGTCTAATTTCATTTTGACTCATAATTTATGAACAATGGTATTTCAGATGACGTACCCCGATATATGAAATATCGAAATCTCCTCGAAAAATGTGTTAATCTTATGTAACTCTGCATTTTACCGCGTAATTTAAGTTTGGCGTGATGAATTGAATTATATTTTAATGTTGCAACAGAATTGGTTTTAATTGTTGCTGTTACTGTGTGTAACTTTATAATATCGTTTTTTCTATAGCTACGGTTACCATATCGAAAATGTTATTTGTTGTGTTACAACATATTTGTGAATTTTGCGAAATAGTCCAAGTCAATTGCCAGAACTCTAACAGACAAAAAATGGTGGTGAACAGTGAATATACATGTGTAAGGTACATGTAACATGTATTAATTAATATGACTGGTACTTGTTTTGCAGTAAAGAAGTTACATAACTGGACACTGTAAATTAACTTTTATTTGTGAGAGTTTTCGCGAGCTAAGCGAAAGCCTCCTCATTTCGAATATTTCCTGCCGCGAAATGTTCCTTACATTCTCTGTGTCTATTAACAACATATCAAACAGGATTATTTTAATTAATTGTCGCGATCTAGTTTACTCCCTGTAAATGGCAAAAAAGTTGTCGCAAATAATAGTTGGTTTAGAGTATTACATGTTCATGTACAATGTAACTGTGTTTGTCTGAACTCAGAACGATTGGAGATTGTTTGTTTATGTTTTGGCTGTGCTGAAACTTTGTGCTAAATTCAAAATATTTTCTTAGGCCATATCATATTTGTTTGCTTGCCCTCTCCCGACTCAAGGCAAAATTATTGGACCTGTATGTAGGTTGGAATTTAATTTTCCAAGAAATTTAAACATTTATTTAGGAATGAGTCAAAGAAAAATTGTGCACTGGAATGTAAAAAAACATTAGATATATCATATTTTCTCCGTCAGGAGGGAGGGGAGCAACTACAATGTAAACATTAAGATGGTCTTAAGTTGCGGTTCACGTTTTTCAAATAATTTGTCTTTTTCAATTTAGACATAAGTATACCAATAAATTATACTCACTACAATTGCCATTTATTACATCACAAACTGAACAAGCATTACACAGTGCACAGTTTTCTCCAAAATGACGAATATTGCAACCTTCAACAAATTAAAAGACTGATTAAATATTTTTATTGATATTCTTTCGGAATGATGCAACCCTTTATTGTCAAAGTTTTTTACTTACAATAATCCTTGAATAAATGCGTACATTGTATATATATTTTTAGTAAATAAGAATTCACTTTCATAACTATGATTGAATTCTTCACAATTGTTCTTGTTTTCAAATGTTTTCTGTACAGTTTTTGATAAGACATTAACCAATTTTCATGTCTTAAGAAATTACAATATTGTGGAGTAAAAGAGAAAGAAATGATTGGCATAAGTTGAAAAGGCACTCATTGAACTAAAATTGATATAAACAGGGACATTGTAATGCATTACCAATCACTTCAATTTCACAGATCTCTAAGACAGGTCCTATGGAATCTTTGTCTTCTGGAGCGTGGTATGTTGTCTCTACAATGACGTATCTCGCCGTCTGTTTACAAGGGATGTCAATCACAGGTGGGGGCGTGGCTGGGGATGTATTGTTGTCTGTGTAACATCGTACTCTAGATCTCTTTATTGAGGTATCTACCGATGAATTTGATACATCCAAGTAAAACTGGCGAAGTCGGTATGGAGGCCAACTATCTGAAATAAGAAATACTTCTTCAATTTACTTCCTTAATAAACATATCAATGTAGAATGCAGAAGTTATATAGGTGGGAAGAATTCATTAAAAAAGCCACGATCTGAAATTCTGATGGTCACTGTGTCATAATTTCGGAGGGCAAAAAAGATTTGATTCGAATCAGATTGACGACAAAAAACGACATAGATATTTTAAATCCAAAACTAAAGCATCTTTTTGATGTCAACTTCACAGTACTTGTGTGTGCAATCAGAATGTGTTCTAGCAAAATAATTTTGCAAATGACCAATAACTAGGTAAGTAATTTTACGAGTTCCATTAATATTTGTATTTATATTGAAATATTTGTAATATTTACCAAATATATTTCATTATCCAGTTCTTAGGAGAAAAAATTCTATGTTATCCTCCTTTCTAAACTTGTGATATGATATTAAATCTATTACAAAGAAAAAATGTGTTTGTGTCATCAGACTTTAATAAAACATATGGAGATAACAAACAGTATTCAAGTCAATTAAACAGCACAAAAACAGGTACAGACCAAGCACGGACCTCAAAAACATCAAAAATGAGTTCAGGTGCTATGGAGGAGTGAGCATCCCCTAACGACCGGTTACATCCTGTGTTTCCTGTCATGGTCGTTAAATAATGAAAAAAAAACAATCAAATTTATTCGTAAATGAGGCGATAATTCTCCCTCAAACCTTGGAAAATTTATCAGCAAAAATATGCGATTTTTTATTTGAAATACTTTACAAGTATTGATGATTTTTTAAAGTCAACACGTTGATTAAAATAATAAGGTCTACAATATTATCCGAAGCAAAAGGGTGATGTTAATATTATTCTTAGAAGGTGACGAAATCATCGTATTGACCAGTTAACAGGAATAATTAATCATCGTATGAATCAATGTTTAAATAAAACTCTTCCTTCTTGACATTTACTGAATTGCAAACTAAACACAAGGAAATAAAGCATGAATTAAATATTTCCTACTTCTCTGATTGGGAGAGATCAAATAATATTGATTATATGCTACGTTATATTCACCTGCACATGTCCTTCCACGGCATTGAGAAGATTTTTTCTTTACATTTGTCTGAGAATAGAGTGGTAAATTACTGAATTTTGGCAAAAGCTTTGACAAGTAATATTAATTTGGGAAATTTATGAAGGGGGGGGGGGTGTCAATCTCGTTGACATATCATCAATAAAATATATTTAATACAATCAAAAATACTTTCGGAAAGTTTTTTTTTTCCGCTTGCTGCTTCAAAACCTCATTTCATTTTTACCTAGAAACAAAATTTTGAGTACCACTCCCTTCCTAATAGAAGGAGAAGCATTCGTCCAACTCATTTTTTTTGGTTGGATGTTAAGGTCAAAAAACTATGAGAGTGTTTTTTTTTAAATGTTATCCTTAAAATTTACCTTAAAACTTTACATTTTCAAAAACGTTAGGGAGAGCGGCAGGCCTCCATTAACCCTTACCCCTATCTTCACCTAAGAATTTATATGCCTCATTCCTATTTCATATGATAGGGAGTTTGGTGTGAAGGGAATAGTGTTGTTCAAAAGTTATGTATACATTGCATTTGTATCAATTTGGAATAAACCAAATCCATTTTAGTCTATTAAATGTGGAGAAAAAAACATCTTACTTTTAATTTCTGTCATTATTATGGGTTGAATGAAATACATTAACATTTTATTTAAAAAAATCATTGAATAATGATTTTTTTTTTAAAAAGAACGGAAAGAGTGGTTTAATTTACCTTCATTTCTAGAGTATATTCTAACAGATTTTAAACTATAAGCTGTTCCGAGATCCACCTGAATCCACGCTAATGTTTGATGTTTACCGGTATGTGCACACTCTGGAAAACTCTGAGCGTAATTGCCATCAACAGCAAGTGATGCATTCTTAAATGTTGAACTTTGGGAGGCGGAAGCCCCAGACACTCTGCTCAAGTTTGCTAAAGGAGAATACGAAATTTATTGGATTTGTTTTACATTTATCTATTTTACACGAACTTTCATAGTTTAATTCTAGTCAAATCATAAGTTTGATCAAGAAGAAAAGGTGCCTTTATAGTTTTGATTCAAAATTTAACATCCTTCCCTCTAGCAGTAATATAAAAAATAATATGATATAATATTATTTACATGTATATATATAATATAATAATATAAGAATAACTTAAGCTTTGAATTTTATTAAACTTCAGTTATGTACCATAGGATTCACACTTTTTGATTGATACATGTATTTGCTCGTTCTCTGTGTTTAACGTTTCTTTCGAGATTTTTTTTACTCTTATTGAGAACCAACAGTTGTCGTTAGAGGGCTGCAAATGCATACAGGATCAATGGACACTAATGAATGTTTTTCGTGCCAACATCTATAGCGACATGGAACCTCAGTTTATTCAGTCTCATCCAAAGGACATGTCACCACGTTTTGCAGTGAAATACGAATCTGAGAAGTAAAGATGAACTCCTTATACCTGGACTATAGAGCAAACGCTCTAACCATACACTGCGCCCATGCAGGTGACTATACAAAGTTCAGAATGAAGGATATAATGAACAGTATTCAATCTCAAAGTCCATAAAACAATACAAAATAGGAGCAGAGCAAACACAGATCTCCGAAACATTAAAAGTAGGATCAGGTGCCATGGAGGAGTAAGCATCCATTGCCTACCGGTCACACCTGCCGTGTGCTCCTTGTGATGATCGGGTAAAAACGGAAAAATCCTTGTCAATTCCATGTTTAAATAATGGATTAACAATTAGTATGAAAAACGTCAGTCAGTATTTGACTCAATGTTAAATTGTATTTTTCTGACGAGGTCATTGTATCGACCACAGAACTTACGAAATGATGACGAGTCTGCAGATATTCTTATTTCATCAACTTGCTTTTCAATAATTAACCTCGTTCTATAAATTGTTCATACGTAGGCCCTGTTCTGGAGTATAGAATCAAATGAGATATATATACTCCGTATGCAGGTGATGAAGGTATATTCCTGCATAAGTAAGGGAAGTTGCCGATAGAAAAGTTAAAGTCATCACGTTTATCATATAGCTTGGTTTTTAGAGTACCATTGATGTCTTTTTCGAGTAAAATATCCAAGTATAACACTGATCTGTCAGACTCTGTGGTATCTTTTATCTGAAGCTCATCAGGATATATCGTATCGATGTAGGAATGGAAATTACTATTGCTAATTGACAATACGTCGTCGATATATCTAAAAGTCAAATTGAAGGCCACAGCAAGTGTTTTCTCCTTTTCACGCATAAGATGAAGCTCGAATTCTGCTTCATATGAATATAAAAATAGGTCTGCAAATAACGGTGCGTAAATGGTACCCATGAAAATTCAAAAAGATTGTTGGAATACCTGGTCTCTAAAAGCCACATGGATATTGTAAATCAGAAACTCAAGCATCTCTTTGATATCAACTTCAGAGTGCTTGTGTTTGCAATCAGAATGTGTTTAAACAAAATAATTTTGCAAATGACCAATGACCAGATAAGTAAATTAACGAGTTCCATTTTTTATTAAAAAAGCAGATGTCCATGATAGCAAAAAGCCTGGACTTTAATTTATCGCGGGGAATGGTTGTGTATAAAGTTGAAAAGTTATAATTTTTAAGCTGCTGATGTAGGTAAAATCTTGTGATTTCAAATTGTCCAAAAGTTCTTTGGAATTTTTGAGAATCCACATATGATTCACACCACTTCTTGAATATTATGTTGCACAGTTCTCTTGAAGTTTTTTCTTCACTACTGTCAATATTTTAGTGAGTAGTAACGAAAGAGGCTTGGTTAAACATTTACTGGAACCCGCAATGTATCTTTGTTTGTAAGGATTTTTATGAAGTTTCGGAATATAATGTATATAGGGTAGTACAAATTCATTTTGGCTCTGTGGTATATTAAAATATTTAAAACTGACAAAGGATTTTGAAGAATTTCTTCCTTAGAAAGGGAAGTATGAGTATAAGTAGGATTACCACTTCTTCTAAAATACAATTTATAAAATGGGCCTTACAAACGAAGACAATGTTGTTTCCTGCTTTCTCGGCAGGGACCAGTACTGAATCTACATACACTTTCTGGACGCTCGTAAAATAATGTGATTTTTTTTTTTTTTTTTTTTGCAACTGTTTTTTTTTTAAATGGAATTTTATATTAATTTCAAACTGAGTCAATCGTTTATGACTAAAGTTGTTCACCTTATATTCAAGTGCATAATTTCAATAAATTCGTATTCACTTCAATTGATCCTATATATACTGTAATATGGTACGACTTTATAGATCTTCTATGTCTTTATTTGTAATTGCCTGTTATCATTTCATATTTGGGGTAAATGCGATCCATTTTTTTTTAAAGGAATTTTATCAATTTCCAAAAATACTTCGACCTCCTATTGTGACTCGACCTTAATCAGAAAAGCCTTATTGGTTAAATTAAACCTGAATCTATAGCATATTCATCGTGTAATTATTGAGTAAATAATTTGAACATACCGTAACAATATCCGACACTGAATAGCGAAAAAAAAGACACACAAAGTGCTGTGTAGGTAGACATTTTGAAAACAAGGAAGTAATTTTTCAGAGTGAAAAACTCAATGTAAACGTCTAATATTTAAAAAGCTGTTCAGCTTTTATCATCAATAATTCCTCAGTGACCCGTAATCTGACAATGTCCTTGTTCATTTACATATATATCCACAAATGATCCTTATTTACACATTTTGATGTTGTTTTGCACAAGACTACGTTAAAAATTAAAATGTAAGGGTCGCTGTTCGAGCTCTAACGACAAAGACTATTCAAAAAGAAAATTCGAACGGTTCACCTCTTTTTTCAGTTTCTTCTAAACCAACAATGCAACCCGAATGTATGTCACTGTTATTTTTTTCCTAATCCAAAAAAAGGATAGAAAGGTCAGATAAATGGAAATGAATTTAAAGAAGTGCATGGCTCCATACTATGGGTTGCTTTTATATATAAAGGAAATACTGTTCTGGGAGAAAGTTTTCCTATTCATATACAATAATGTAGTTTTTCACAGGCACATAATATCAGGGATGGGGTTGGGGAAGCTTCTTAAGACATAACCTTAAGCTTTTAAATGAAAATGTTCATTGAAAGTCATTTTTTTCCCAACCCCTCCTTTTATGTTGAAGTATGGACCAAATAGGGATTATGGAGATTTGTTTAAAAATAGTATTAAAAGAAGTTTGATAGCAAAAAATTTGATCCTGTCCCAACCCCAGATATAAGAGATATTTTAAGCTTACATTTATCTATACTTTATATACCTGATGGTGCATGTACGTCCATAATGTACGTAAATCCTTTCCATCTGAACAAATGCTTTATGGCAAATGCTGAAATACCTCACCTGATTTGGGGGGAAACAAGATAAATGTGGACGACATTTTGCATTTTATAATATATTTAAATTCAACAGTGTAATTTGTTAAACATTCAAGAAAACAAACCTTTAATTTACTAGATTTTGAACATGCATGAACAAATCCAGACTATCTCATGTTATAAAATCACACAATCTATTAAAGTTGATCTTTTCTTATCTTATTGATC